ACTTCTGATTCAATAAGAGTTATCTTGCACGAGGGAGAGCTTATTGCGAATGTAAGCAGTGGATTGGTGTCAAATGGGATATGGCATCACAAAATAGAGTCTGGATCTCCTGCCCACACAAATTCTGTTTACGCCTACCCACATAACATTGCAGCCACACATAGAGAACATCTCTTCCTCCTATATAATTATGCAGGGAAAGATATTCCTAATTCACGGGAATAGTGTATTGTGGCTAGATGTGGACAGAAGATCTAGAGTCCACAAAATAGGTCTGGATGTCAAAGGAGATTTCAATCTTATGTCAAAATGGTTCGACCTCATGCCTGTCATGTGATGGGAGTCTCATTAATCTTAATCATTCTCTCTTCAAATTGGTGGTTTCAAAGCTTTAAGGTCCAGCGCAAATAAAATTGGGAGAATGACTATCGGGGATGCATCCTGACCGTGAATTGATGCCAAATTCTTGGACAGGATGCGGTTTATAGGAGAGCTACTAGTAGAATATGGGGGCCTGTCATTCAGAATTCTGCATTGGGTTGCAGAGTACTTAATCCAATAAAATTAGTAGAAGAGACGTGCATCCTAAGTTGCCCTACATGTTCGTCTGAGCATGCATTGGGTACATCTCCCGTAGTTGTTATTGGGAGATGTTCCCAATATAAGGTTGGAATGTGATGTGTTATAGGATACCCGTGGGGTGTGCTCTGTTGGATTCAGATGCGAATTCTTCACATTAAACCCCACATGCACATCTCACCATATATTTGGAACATCTCAGGTGTTTGTGGGGTGTAGATGCAAATTTTATTGTAACTCGATTCAAATGGGCATGCCTATTGCCTAATAACCAATTTATTTGGAAAAATAACAGGGAACATTACATATAACCACCCTATACTTAGGTAGAATTCACATTAGCCCCCACAGCACATACCAATGGGAACATCTCCCGATGATAAGTACAGTTCCCAATGTGATCTCACCTTGGGGGTAGTAACGCTAATTAGCTCCTTGAGACTATTCCAATACTTTGCCCTCTCACTAATATTCCATCAATTAACCTCAAGAAGAAAAAAAAATCCCATTTGGCTGTTGTATGCTTGTTAGGCACTGCCCTATCCATTTTGTCACGTCAAGAAAGAGCATGTTTTGTCCTCTTTGAAATATCATCCTTCCACCCATTTAAATCTTGAAAGGGTATTTCAGTAAAATAATTTTTTTCTTCAATCCAATTAACACAAAAGGTGTGAAATATTGGAATCTGAAAGGGGGGGGTTGACATAAAACCTCCTTGATTCAGATCATTCGCCTCTAATCCTACAGCTTGGGCTTAGTAACCCAAAGATAGGGCTGGGGCCCAAGCCTTTCAAGTTAAAAACTATGTTTGGATTCGAGGTTAGGTGAGGTGGCTCAAAGAACGTGGACTATTGAAACCAATGATTTGGGATCCACTCAAGAAAAGAAATTAAGTTAGTATTGGTACATCAATCATATTGGTGATATTAATGAGAAGAAAGCTGAAACCATGACTGGACTAGAAGGTATTCAAAATCAACTGCCCCTGGACCCAATGGTAGGGAGTCGGCCAACCTGGAAGGTACTCTCCAAAAGTCACTACATTCAATTCTTGCATGTGACAGACCTTTTGGCCACAAAAAAAAAAAAAAAAAAAAAATCTTATACTGTCACAATGATTTTGGAGGAACAAAAACAAAATAAAGGGAATTAAAGATGATAGGGGTGAATGGGCAAGAGATCAAGAGGAAGTGGTTATTGCAAATTGGTTTTGTAAAAACTTCGAGGACAGATTTAGATCGAAAGGCTCCATTTGGAAAAAGTACAAATAGAAATATGTAGAGCGTAAAACCTTTATTTTGTATTAATTTGTATGTATTTATATTATACATATTTGTATTTGTATTCCATTGAAACTGTACAAAAGGTACAAAAGTATAAATGAGTTTGTAAGCGATCTGCCTCAAAGGGTTACAAAGGATCAAAAGAAGATCATCACTAGAGATATCAGTGATGAAAAAAAAAAAAATCGTTATGTTTTTCATGCGATGCAATACTTTAAGCCTCCCGGTTGCAGTGGCTTCAATTCTCTATTTTTCAAAAGAAAAAGAAAAGCCAATTATTGGTTATATGGTCAATGGTGCAGTCAAAACCTTTTTTTTAACTTTGGAAAAATGAATAAGGCATTAATATAACTTTCATAACCTTAATTCTCAAATCAAATCATCTAAAGACAAATAATAATTATAGACCAATCAGTTTGTGTAATGTTATTTACATGATTATTTCAAAATTTTGGTCATATAAAACCTATTTTTTATGAAATTATTTTATACCAGAGTATTTTTATTCTTAACAACAAATGGCACATGAAATTATTTGTTTCGTGAAAAAAAAATAAAAAACAAATAGATATTATAGCCTATAAGATAGACATGAAAACAGCCTATGATAGATTAAAATGAGGCTTGATTCAAAAAGTTTTGGAGAATTTTGAGTTCCACCAAAAGTGGATATCATGGATAATGAAATGCATCAAGGCTGTTTCTTTTCAAATCTTAAATAATGGATCTCCGTCTAAGGAAGTTGTTCCATCCAAACATGGTTTTTAAAACCGACCCAGTGACCGAACTGGTTAGGGGTCCAGTTACCGGGTCAAACGGTCCGATTGTTCGAACTGAACGCTCGATCCATTCTGACAAAAATTAAAAATAAAAAAATAAAAAACGGTCAAAATTGTTCGAACGGTTCAAACGATTAATCGCTTGATTCAGTGGTTCGCTGACTAAAATCAACGGTTTTGAGGGGAAATCCGGTTTTTGGAGAAAACGGAACCAATGATCTGACCAATTCCCAGTTTTTCCAGTCCAACCGTCCAATCCGATTCCGTTTTGAAAACCATGCTTCCAAATGGATCAAACAAAGAGACCCACTGTCCCATATTTCTGTTTTATAATGAAACTTTGGGAAGGAAGCTTGAAAAGGTATTTTCCATCCCAAAATTCCTTTAGAATGGTAGAGTGAAACATGGAGGGCCCCAATGATCAATGGTAGAATTACTAAAAGCACCTTCGGAAATATCAAAGTCTAAACCGATAAGAAGTTGTCGGACATAAAAGAAACCCTCTTTCTCTAGCTAGGAAACTTATCCTCGTTAATGCTTCATCTAACGTTCTTGGCCAGGTTGTCATGAGAGCTTCAAACTCCCTAACAACGTGATCAATGAAATCAATAGAACTCAGCGAGATTTCTTGAGGGGAAATAGTGGTGGGAAGAAACGGATGCACCTTATGAACTCAAAGCAATTATGTACTTCGGAAAACTTGGGGGATTGGTGTTATGAATATCCATATGGTGAATGATACCAATCTAGTCAAATTGGGTTGGAAATTTTTACAAGAAAACCTGTGGTTACTGAAAAGTACCTAAAAGAAGAAAAACTACTGGGAAGCTGAAGTGAGAAAAAGTAGATATTGGGCTTTGGAGAAGTATATTATAATCAAGGGAGCTTCTTTTGAAAGGGTAATAATTAATTGGATGATTGGCAATGGCAGATCAGTGAAATTCTGAACTGATACTTGGGCTGATAATGCTCGTTTGAAAATTATGTTAATTGAAACTACATTGAGAACGAAAATCTGTTGGCAAGTGATCTCATTCATCCAGATAGGAAAATGTGGAGGGAAAGTCAAATAAGGGAGAGTTGGTTCCTGATCAAAAGATAAAAGCGATCATTCTTCCTTCTGAACCTAAAGATTATATAAACTAATTTGGAGACTAATCCATCTGGAACCTTTTCTATTTAAGTCCGAGTATAAATTATAATGAGGAAATTTTTTGTTCATTCTAGAAATGTCATTATCTATAGAGCAATCGGTCGAGGGGGGGGGGGTNGTGGGGGGGCTTAATCTGTTATCTGAATTTTTCTTGTTTCTCCTTCTTAATAATTAATAAATAGAGGCGTTAATATTGATGGAGGAGATGAAGAAGATTTTAATCATATTTTCAAGGATTATGCTTGTATTAGACAGGTTAAATGAGCACTTGATAATGAGAACTTGATAAGTATTTTGACAACTGTAAAGTGTTTTAATTATTTCAAGGGTAGGCTGAAAGCATGGTTTTTAAACCGGATCGGATTGGACGGTTGGATCGGAAAAACCGAGAACAGGTCAAGTGATCAGTTTTATTTTTCACTAAAACTGGATTTTTGCCAAAAAAATGTTGATTTAATCAATAAACCATTGACTCAAGCGGTTGAATCATTCAACAGTTTTGACCAATTTTTAAATTTTTTATTAAAACGGGCCGATCGTTTAACCTGAGAACAGAACCCCTAACCGATTCATTATCTAGGTCGATTTTAAAAACCTTGGCTGAAAGTATTTCAAAAGACATGTCAAAAAAATTTCAAGTGCTCGTTAAACGTGCTTACAACGTTAAGTAAGCACTTAATAGCTTTAAAGCCAGGTATGTCGGGCCCTAACGATAAGGACTTTTCGTTACTGGCTTCGTGAGAAAGAATTTCATTGAAATTTGACTTGACGGTCAACCAAAATGCACCGTTATCTTGTGGTACTTGTGGAAAAATGGGAATGACAATTGCTAAGACGGAAAAATGTGGAATCCCACTTTCTAGAACAAGCCTAGAGAGAACTCGTTTAAGATTAATTTTGATACCTCCTGTAAGAAAAATCGTAGGTGATCAGTTGCTTGTATTGGTGAACTTAAAAAGATTATTGTATTGGTGAGACGTCTATCATCCTAGCTGAAGCCTGGGCTGCTTGGAAAGCCCATAACTTGATGCTGAATTTGTAACACTGCTTCGTCATCATCATTCCCAGCTAGCTAGTCAACAATTGTCTCTTGATAGGTTGATCCGCAGGTTGCAGAACATCAACAAATGTGTCAGATCATGAAAGAGAATTAAGAGCATGGAGTACTATAGGCATATTTTTTCATGAAACAAATCAATCTGCGGATTTAGCTGGCAAACGAAGATCTTGGTAATATCCTTCCAATTTACCTAATTGGGATAATCACTCTTTCCAAATTGGTAATATCCTTTATGCATCATGGACACCATACATATACACGATCCGTGCTCTTGTACAATCAGTGGCAATGGGACTGCCCATTTCTTCTTGTGAATGGCCATTGATGTTTATTGGTAAAGTGTACATGGTGAGCCCAAGTATTATTTTGAAGGTTGAGTGTGGGTGTGGCAGGTTAGGATTTTACAGGATTAGTACACGTCTAATCTGGATTTGTTTGTAATGAATTAAGATGTTTATATTTGCAGAATGGATCACGAAATGTTGTACTTCTTACAAAGTCCAGAATGTCTGAACAAAAATGCCCCTCCAAACGTTGATTCAATCTCAGCTTAGGCTTCTAAAATGGTATCTATTAGTTCCAGTTTCCCTTGGGACAAGGTAAAAAGATGTAGCATCCCTTCCACACACTGTGGGGTCCTCTGCATCCGTTTGATAGTTCTGTGGAAGGAAGAACCAAACATATATTGGAAGCACGCATGCAGAGGAAGACCATGAGAACTGAGTTGGATTAACCTTATCTCATCTTTTCCTTTTCTGTTGTTAGGAATGGCGAGTCCATTTCGTGCTTCAGTACAACTTGTTGAACTCAGAAGGCTGTGGAGATTCTCCCAATCTTGGCAAGAAGGCTTCCCTCTCAAGTGAGACCTGCAAACACGCCATTACTTTCACCAGTGATCCCCATGCAATTGGGGCACAACAAAACGCGTAAGCAAATACTGCAAGAGCTCGCACAACCCCATCCGAGTACCAAGGGAATGCCATGACCACGAGGGAACCAATGATCCCTAACCATGGAGTCAGGACAGCAAAAGCCGGCAGTAGAAAAGCATTAATTGCAATGGAAGCAAGTGCTGCTGATCCGAGAAGGTAAAGGGTCCAGCCTATAACAGGATGCAGTGTCCGAGGTATGATGAAGAAAGGGACTACATAGGCAGCTAGAATGGACCAGGTGACAGTCATCTTGAGCCCTGTTTGTAAAATGGAGATGCTCTTGTCTGGACGCCTATAGCACATCTTGGATATACTGGGCCGCGCTAACCGCGTCAATGCTATCACTGTTAGGTATATTGCCAATTGTACGAAAACCACAGGCATCTCTGCACCGTACCTGTTTAAAAATGATGATCCCCAACAAAATGAAACAAGTCCAAGCAGATAGTTACAATATGCCTAAGCTTATAATGCTTATTGTTTGCTTAATCAAAGATCAATAAAGCATGCTAATGTTGTCGTCACATACCCTAGAGTTTGTCGACGTTTCTCATGCCAAGAAAGACCCAACGGCAGGACTGGCCATGACCACCAGTACCATGGCTTCAACCATGGTGCGCTTGGGAATGTGATCACGCTATTAGGCCCACAAGGTATGCTCCATCGAAGCTTCAGATCTGCCAAAAATATATATGGTTATTATCTCTGCCTTAGCATTTAAAAAAAAAAAAAAAGACCCAATTCCAAATTCCGATGATCGTATAAATACAATATAGGGTTGAGCAACTAGCCATGTGCATCACATAAATATGAATCACTTTAAGCAAGTAAAATTACTTACAGTAATATGAAGCATCCATCTGGTAGCCCAAAGGAAGTCTGTAGGTACCCTCAAGCCTGGTACCGTTAAGAGGTGGATGGAACATTGGGCGGTCTAGCAAGTCAGGGAAGTAGCTACCGAGAAACCCCTGGTCTGCGCCATCCGGGTTTTCACGTCCGATTGCCAACTCGTGAAGCATGTTCTTGAACACCTCTGCTGATGGCTGCGGTGATAATTCATCAACAGTTTACTCGGAATTTGAATTGATTATGTTTCATAAACTATTTCGAGGTACAGCTCTGTAGAACTGAATAGAATTCTCTTTTTTTTTATTTTTGAAGGGGATGGGGAGGAGGGGGAGTTGAGGATACCTGCAAGACAAAGAGACCAGTGTGGAAAATGCAGGGGTTGATGAAAACAGCACAGAATTGTCCACACTGAAACAGCTCGTCAGTCTTTTGGAGAAAGAGATTGTCAGAGTCAAGCATAACTATGCGATCATATTGCACCAGACTCCATACGTAGAGCTTGTTCATCGTGAGCTTAAACCTGCTGTCGAAGTTGTTCTGTTTTTCATATGGGTTATTCAGATTCTCCACCCTCAAAACCTTCGCTCCATCCTCCTGCTCTCTGCAGAAGAAAGCAAAATTAGTCATCAAAACAGCTTCATCTGATCACTGATTCAGGACGCCCATTGAATCACAGAACAGCAGCTTCCCAGGAAAAAAAAAAAAACTAATTCACAGGACAACAGATGATGCCCCAAATTTTTGGACGAAAACACATAATTGCGAGGTTGCTTCTAAAAAAAAGAGTTTTGTCATCTTCAATATAAGAAAAGAAAACGTTCTGTTTCATATCGTCTTCAAATAAAGAGCACAAGAAAACCCGAAAGGGGTGTTGGTTGTTTCTTCTCCTATTCATTCGTCTAAGTGACCATGATCACGCAACGAATTCAAGGAAAGCCCCTCCGTGTTCTATATCAATAAGATCCAAAGTCAAGGTTGATTGACTAAACATCCCTCCCTGTCCATGAACGATCATGTACAAATATCAAGATTCTTCTTGAAAATAATCCACTCCATAATCGGAAAGAAAATTAAGGAGCATTCGTCATCGCCGAATGATATTTCAGAGCGGAAGGCGCTGTTGCCTGTAGAGAAGTACCTCGCCAATCGCCATAGCTTTTAGCTTTAAATTTAATACAAATAAACAGCAACTAAATGAATTAATAAAAATAAATTTACTTAAGCTCTGATTGACAGCAAAAATCTGAGATGCACATGCACCGACAGCTCGTAATCAGAGCAGTAGGTAAATAACGTCAACCGTCTGATCAATAGCTTAGCTGATATCCGGAGATTCGTGCAGTCGTGCTCCATACTGGTGGAATTGTTTTTATTCCCGCTGCACAGGGATCCACGTTCATCAAATCCAACGTCTCCCAGTGTTTTGGTTTTGCCGTTTTGATTTCGGTGTTATAGCCGGAATGCTCACCAATAAACACTTCTCCGGCATAAGGTTCCAAATGACCGGAAAAATCTCCGGTCTATTTTAGCAAAATGTGGAAAGAAAGGGAAAGCGAGAGGGATTTTTGCGACTTACAGAGTTCGAACCCATCGTTCCGGAACGTCGATGGAGGCAATGACGACGAGATCGGCGTCGACTCTGAGCTTCGCTAGAGATCTGAGCATCACACGTGTGGCAACGTAGAACTCGTAGTCTCTCGGCGTTCCCATATACATCATAGCCGCGTAAGCATTCCTGTGCGTCCTCACTCTATCGCCAACCACACCTTGAGTCGCCGTCGCTGCTAGAAAAGCTGTTAGGAGCAGCAATATCTTAGAAAAACCTAACCTCCTAGTCTCTGAGTGCTCCATTCCTCTGCTTCACTCAGTTCTCACATAAGACGAAACATGAAAGTCGAAACAAAGAATCCTTCAAACAATTAATAGAAATAGAATCCAATCCAATGGCAGTAGCCTCCAGAAATTTTTTATCTTCTCTTGTTCTCTAATGGCCTCAATCACTAGCAGCACGTCGCAAGCATCATACATCGGAGAGTTTCAAAGGCTACAGATAAAACTACAGAGAAAATAATGGCCGGCAGAGCTTCGCCGGGTAAGTACCCGGTGAGTATGCCGAAACAATATTTTCCATCCGTTCTTTGGACAGAAAAAGGCAGAGAACAGAGGAAGAGAGAGAGAGAGAGAGAGAGAAGGCGCGTGTTTTTGTCTTAAGGAGAAGGGACGGAGCAGAGCCCTAAAATAGAGGGACGGACAGAAAAAGTCACTATTTTATTTTATTTTTCAGTTTATATCATCTATCTAAATCTAAATTCTAATTTTTAAAGTAGAAGAAAGATATTCATAAAAAAAAAAAGGAAAGTTCGATACTAAGGTTAACGCGGGGCCCAATTAATTGGCCCATTGGCCATTACAACGTGAGCGTGTTTTAATATTGAGATTATGCCACGTGGCGCGTAAATGATGGCAGATGAAAAGGACTCAAATGTCATTGAAACGGAGTATCGCCTGTATCCGGTACACCGTATTGCAAATTTCCAATTCCAACCATGATGATGCCGGTAGAGTAGACAAAGGAGTGAAGAGGCATCTCCCAGTCCCAGTCCCAACTCCCACGTGGGCCGTGGCACACCGCACCGTGGCCTGGTGGAGATGAGGCCCATTCTTCTTTTTTAATAGTAAAATATTGTCTGGAGCCGTTACCACTTACCAACCTATGTCCTATACAGCTATACTCCTATTCATGCCTCTCTTAAGTTTTGACAGCCAAACACAACTACAGGCCTCATCAAGTCATCAGTCATCACTTATCAGGTCAGGTTCAGGAAGCCGCATTTGGCTTCACGGAAAACGTTCACAAAAGTGGAACCACCACAACACGCTTTCTGTGCTTTTTTACGCGTACTCGTTTTCGTTTCGATAGGTGGTTTTACTTTTTTAAGAAGCAGTTTCGCTTTTTGCTTTCTCATTTTTCAAATGAATCCCATATCTTTGATCCATTTTAATATTCCAAATCGAGTCAAATAGAATCTTATTCGACGGGTTCGGATTCGGTTGATATCATTAATAATTTCTTGAACCAATGACCCTTTAGTAAGCATACAACATCTCAAATTCCTTAATAGATGGATACATGGGTTCGGATTGGGATGTATCCATGTTCGATCCAGTTATAAAACGGGATCAGCTTTATCCGAATTTGGACTATCAAATACCTTTTGCAGACGAAGGGCCTGCTCGGGAGGATTTCTGTGTTGATTGAATTGCGTTGACTGAATTGTTTAGGAGAAGCTACTAGCTTCACCCTTCCACTCATGTAAGCTTATTTTTAGCTTTACCCTCCCCATAAAGGCACCAAATATTAGCATTTTATATGTTTTTAGTGAAGAGTGTAGGGACTACAAGACCCTATTAGAAACGGTTTCGTACCTATCTACGCGTCTCTCATTTTTCTTTTACAGGAATGGAGGACCATTGGACCATGCATTCATTAGTTAGCAGTTAGGACGTTAATGGGTTACAATTATAGATTGTGGATTTTGGATAGAATAGAATCAAAACTATTTTGTGCATGATAGGTCCCATCCCATCCTTCCAAGAATGGGACATCGAGTAATCGTGAAAACCTTACCCAAGCCCGAGGGTATTTGGATTTCTTTGGAACATCGGCATGATTTTAAACCACAAACCAACTAACTTGTCCAATTTGAGGAAAGAACACGCTATCTGCTCACATCAAAGTTGTAAACTCTTTCACGGCCCATTTAGCTCTGTTTCGGCAAGTTGATTGATCTTGGATTCTTATAAGAGGAGATTCCGAAGTTATATCTGCCCCCCCCCCCCCTAGAATGCATCTTAAAAACGTTTTACATCACATCCCAATCATGTATTGGGAATATTTTCCAATGTTGAGATGTGTATGTCAGATTTATCGCTGATTTATCCAGATAAATGCACTTACCAGGGTATGTGATTTTTAGGAAAGACTTATCCGGCTAAGTGCATTTACCCATGTTCTTTTATTTTTCATGTAAATAAGACTGATAATTTTAACCATAAAATTTCAATATTAAAAAGAACATTTTTGTATCATTCAAGTATCCACAACTTCTCCCAAACGGAAAAGTTATTTATCCACCTAAAAAATAGGTAAAAATAAACTTTTTTTGGTCTCCACATAAATTTAAAAAAAGAACATAGATTTCTTGATACTCCTCTCCAAATCCAAAAAAAGAACATCCCTAAATACAAATTCTCAACTCTCGCTCATACTCATTCAACACAGATGATTGATGTGCAAAGCATACACAAGATTTGTCAACACCCACCAGGACCACTACGGCCGTCTGGTAACTTAGTTAATTATTGGTAAAGCTGCAATTTGGGCGGGCTTGGATTGAGCATTTTCCAAAATTTGAATAGATCTGAGGACCTGTAAAGAAAATTTTCTGACCGAAGATGATCCCTTCTTCCTCTCCTCTGAAGAGCATTTAATTCAAAAAACTTATCACTGTCATAAGGTAATATAGAAATGGTTAAACATTTTACGACCAAATAAGCTCGAAAAATGGGCCGTTGGGCCACAAAACAACTAAACAAAGACCATGGCCCATGGGAATTAATTTACGATTATAAAGTAATATAGAAATGGTTGTTTTCAACTGAACAAACGTGGCCTAGACGTGGAAGATTGATTCTCTTCTGCACAATAATTCTCTCTTACTCGGTTCATCGATCAATTATTAAAGGTGAGAAATAAGGCATATGCTATGTACCTTATTTGATTCCACGGTCAGGAATTTTGGGAAACAGATGGTTCAAGTTTCGCTTTTACAAGTAGAGAGAACTGCCATTAACGAGGTGCAGGGCCTATTTGGGGACAGCATGGACATTAGTGTTTCATGTATTCATGTACTATGTACTTCCTTCAATGTAAATTTAAACCGGATCAAATTTTGCACCCCGTTTAGTTTTGCATCTATTTCTTTGTAGTAATGATATACACTCTTATCTCTTACAAAATTTATATTCTTTTTTTTCATTGCATTTATTGGTAGTATAAATTTTGCATTCAAAAAATTGATGCAAAATTTACATCCCCTTTCTCTTACCTCAATTTTTTCTTTCTCATATAAAATAGTGATTACATCATTTTTTTTTTTTCTGCAAAGTCAAGACTACATCATATTGTTTCCAACTTCACTCAAACAAATAACCTTCCTATTCCTATCTCTTTAATATAAGGTGGGGACAATATTTTGCCTCCTATTTTACTTCTCATTCAAAACTGAAGCAAAAATAAACCAAAATTTAAACTGAGCTTATTTGCACTTTTTTTTGCTGTTTACCATAAATCAATAACTTGTGTATACAAATAAATGTCACTTTTGCTGTAAAATGTTATTTAATACTTTTGGATCTTTTTATATAAGTTTGTAATATTAAATTAATTAAAATATAGACTATTTTAACGATTTATGTGTTTTTTATAAATTAAAATTTGTGTATGTACATAACAAGTAACAACTTGCTATATCAACCAAATAATAATAATAATAATAAAGTCTCCTGTTTGTTATAACGGAAATCCTGCCTGCATCTGAATTGGGGTCAGGGGAGGCACCACACCCCTCCTCTGTATTTGTCGTTGATTCCTTACTTCTCATCACATTGCCGAATGGTGATACTCTTGGTTATTGGGATATATGTATGACATTGTTTCTTTTTTGTTCTGTTATTGTAATTTTATGTGTTGCCATCATTAATATGAGCATTGATTGATTGGATAGTTTTTTATTCTTAATATTTTGTAATTTTGATAATTGTGGCTTCCTCATAAAAGAAAAATGTTTTAGTAAACAACAAGGGCAAAGGTTGAAACTATGCTATTATGACTAGTTCATCTCAGTCCTACAAGTGGAGGGAATGCCCTATTCAACGGAATGCTATAATTAATTTTAAGTTAAACATGAACTGTCGCCTGTTCAAATTCAATTCAAGTTCTGGGATCCGGTTATAACCTATGAGGACATGTTGAAGGCATCAGACACGTGTACAAAGTTTACTATTGTATTCAGCATGCATCACGCTAGTTCTTATTTCTCATATTTTGTTTTACATTTGTCATGGAAATTAATTAATAACAAAACAGAATCCAATAAATCTGCAAACTGGAAATACTGAAGGGTTTTTTTCTTTTTTTGTTGGCACTTGTGTTCAATCCTTTTTTTTTTTTTATTCATCTTGCCGAGTCAGACCCCTACACTGTGGCTAGACATTCATCAGATTTTCCTCATCCTGCATCCATATTCATTTCCTCATTCTGTATCCATGTCTATTTGAGATTAGCCTAGTTAGTTTATTTTTTAACTTGAGAAAAATAGGAAAACTCATACAACTCGAAGGGAATTTAAGTACGGAGATATTGCCTTGCGTTGAAAAATATCTCCATACTTAAATTCTTTATTTTATGGGGAGATATTCTCAATCCAAGAGTGAAAAAAACTGTTAGAACGGTGTAAACACAGCTTTACCCTGATCGAAGCCGATCTCGCTAACAGAGAAAATAAGAGCAGAATATAAGAATGAATTCTGTGAACGCATACACCTCATTAAAATATCACTCTATTAGGTTCACGGGAGGCCTCTACTGGTGGAGGAGCTGTGAGGGGGAGGAAGAGGTAAGCCTTTGAATATGTCTTTTTGTCAAAGCCGAATGTAGCCTGTAGGCTTTACATCATTCAGAATGGAGCTTTCAAAGGATCCACACATAACTATGAAAGTTTGGCTTTTTAGCAATAGTTTTATGCGTAAATTAATTTTTTTAATGTCTTAATTTGTTTCTTTACTTGGTAATTTAAGAAATTTGTGATTACGCCGTGGTGATGCATGCATTTAAGAAATAGAGATTTGGCATCACATAGGATTAGTGACAATACATTGTGGGGTACGGATATTGAGTACATTCCAATCTTACGGCAGAAAAGTGTTCATGAAGAGTCCCTTCGTTGAATCAAAATCCTATATTAAGGAAAAATCATAGGATCTACTGGATTTCATTTACATCGCTATCACCCTGGGAGAGAACTCTTTCTTGTCACTAGGTGTTTGGTACTTACTAGATAATCTGTGTCAGATCAGCATCAAATAAGTATTAATTTTCTCAAATGGATACTGAAATTTTATTTGGTTAAACCATTTATCAAGAAAATGTCTTCACAGGTTAC